CTAAGTCAAACTATATACTTTGACCTATACCATGGCTTGAGCAATAAAACCACCAAGCTTTATATGACCTTCATAAATCTGTCTCCCAATAGACATAACACCCCTCTCTAGAATACCCTCATAGGGGTGGATCTACACTCACTCTCCCCAACTTCTTAGAGCTATTAGCTCTTACCTTAGAATATTTGTCAAGTCCTACTTATGGATAATAAACAAACCTATATCATGTATGACACATAAAAAATACTACCTAGTTATCTTGTAAAACAAACCCAGATATCCCCTACCATAGTTGCAGTACATAGGTACACTACTGACAAATCTCATAGAACTCGCTCCATTACCACCTTAAAAACTAACACAAATGGACCTCTGTTGCAGTTTGCAAGTCTAAACCTACTCCTTTTCCCACTATATCAACCACTAGATGTCTCTCCTCCAAATTTCTTCCAGATAGTAGATCATCACTATTGAGTAGCCATAAAATCATACTCTATCAATCACTCTCTCTATTAGCTCAAAAATATCAGTAACAAAAAGGTACAATTGGTTTCCTTAAACTATCTCAATGTCCTCTTAAAAAGTAATAGGATTTTTGTTCCATAGCATACTTGGCCAATGTAGTAAACATAACCTAATATTAAATCACAGTCTTTTACCCTGAGCTAACCTCATAAAAGTCTCTTAAATATGTTGTCTAGTTGAAAGAGGTACAAACTAGTTTCAAAAAATCTCATTGAACTCCTAGGATATCATAGCATTCAAACTCCCTAGAACTTTTTTATTTGCTAGGCCAACCACCAACGTTTATCTTCTCCATTTAACAGAAAAATAACTAATAAAACTCTCCTCCAATAAAAATAGATAAATCCTATGGATCAGTTACAATTAATTCTTATAAACCATTACACTAATACCAAAAAAATTCTATCACAACATTACCTGATATTACCCATAAATAGAATGGGTCAGACCACATCAAATCATGGCAGGGCAGAAATTCCATTACATAATTAGAGAGAATTACAAAAATTCTAAATAATTTACAATCTATAAAGCCACTAAAAGTTTAATTATACATAAGAACTCATCACCAAAATTCTTTTCATTCATTTTAGAAGTGCTTATAATCAAAATAATTTTCTATAAATAGTATATGATAAGACAAAATAGAACAGTAAGAAAAACTACAAAAATCAAAATTTAAACCAACATAACTATATACATTTTGATCTCAAACTTTTACCTTTCTCTAATCAACCTTCCCCTTTTTCCTTATCTTGACCTCAAATTGAAGCAGAAAGCAAGCATGAGAAACTATAGCTCAACTTGTCACATTCATGCTTCGTTTGTTTTTTTGGTGCTTTTGTAAAAGACAGTTTTAAAAAACATTAGTTTAGAAAATATTGGGAATGTGATTTGACAAACCAAACAACATAAATAACACAAAAAAAAGAGTTTTCTAACAGAGAAACATATATAAAATGCTTTCTCAAAACTGTAGAAAAATGAAAAAAAGGAGTTATTGGGAATGTGTTTTGACGAACCAAACAACAAAAAAAAATTCCTCCGTTTCCAAACAAAAAAGGCAAAAAAAAAAAAAAAAAAAAAAAAAAAAAAAAAAAAAAAAAAAAAAAAAAAAAACGCTCAAACAAACAAAGCCTCAATCTAACTAAGCCTTTATTAATGAAAATTAATAATAAAAAGTAAAATAGCAAAGTAAATTCATCCATACAGAAATCTAACTAAATTGTTACTAATAAATATATATCTAGAATAAAAATAACAAAAATTAAAAAAAAGAAATTCCAACGCACAAATTCTAAGTAGTAGAGTAGTAAAGAAGAACATTAAACACATCTTTTCCTTTTCTTAGAAAAAATAGATTTCTCACAGGCCCTTATACCTCCTTATAGATATTATAAGTTAGAATTTATGTCCTTATAACTCTATAAGCTAGCATATTATATAATAGACTCTTATAACTCCTAATATAAATTACCATTAGCATTCAAAATTATCAAAACCTTGTAAGTCCTAGCAGAAAATATCTCAAAATATCCACCAGTCATCAAAACTATCTCTGATTTACACAATTCAAGAATATACATATAAAAATAAATGCAATCTAATATAAATTACATGATATCAAAGTTACAATAGGGTTTTCCATAATATTCAACTAACAATCAAATTGAAGAAATTTTAGCAAAAAAGATACATAAAATTTTACAATTTAAGAAAAAAAGATTACTAAATTAGCATACATTATTCATAATTACATTTCAAAGCTTTTATTGTATTATGACACTATTTAAAAGCATCAAAATACTTTCCCAGATTATTGAAAAACATATTTTAAAAATTATTATAAGAAAATATATTATTAAAATACTAAAGTATGTCAAATATTACTAATTATAACAAATCAAAAGTTATAGGTGATAATTTATCAAGTGATTACATATGACCTTTTTTGTGTCAAAATTTTAACTAAAAAATAGAAAAAAAAAGTGAATTATTAAAAATTAAAAAAGGTAAAATATAACCTACTTCAACTTAGATAATTTTTTAGCTATCCCAATGGACAAAATGACTAAAATTTACCCAAAATAGACTTTCTATCTTTATATTTTCTCTCCTCTCTATTTACTCAACTGCCTTATAAAATGATTTTTAATCCTTTTTTAAAATGTATGTAGATTTTAATTCTTTTATAAATTATGAGTGAATTTTAATATTTGTAAAATATTTGATGTAAGCATTATGACCCTCCAATACCTAGCGCTATGACACTCCCTTAAAAAATCCAACCAAATATAGGGCATAACGTCATAGTGCCCTAGACTAGTGTCATAATGTATCAGAGAAGACCTTGTGTCATAGGGCTCAACCAATCAACATCATAATATTCTATTAAATAACCAAAATGATAGAAGCCCAGCGTCCCTCTTAGCTCTACGATTCTTTTATGGGAAATTTTAGAATTCAAAATTTTCACACACTAAACCTTGGAACACACTCTAGAATAGAATTTGTGTATTCACACACATATAGAATATTTACAAACATATGAAGAATGAAAGTGCAAAAAATTCAAATGCAAGACATGCTTTATAATGTTTCAAACAATTTAGAACACTGTAGCAATGGATATTACTGTGGTGCCCCAGGATCTAAGAGAAGGATTAAATCCATAAACCTAAATATTTTTAAACCACCATATATAATTAACCATAGCTAACTAAATAATATAATAATAACAAAAATAATAATAGTCTAGAACATCATTCAAATTTTAATTTCTTACAAATTGTTACATACAATAATTCTATTTTTATAAAGTCTATAAATCAAAAGAATAAGTATCGGATTACAAAATACCTTATAAAATATAATTATGAAATCCTACCTTAGTTAGCTATACTCAAATAGTCATTGTTCCTTTCCTTGAATATCAAAAAGTTTTCATAGGGTAAGCACAATAAGCTTAGTAGGCTTCTTCCATATTTCCATCATGAATATCAATATCCATGTCATCATAAATAATAAATTATACATTAGAGGGTAAACTAGGTATTATTCATCAAAATATAAACTAATAATAGTAACTTATAATAACGTTAACATATTTATATTTTTGAAACTTTAATGCAAAAATTACTACTTGTATTTGAACATAACATTTATTTTTGCACCTTTCACAAAAAAATGCTTTCACAAGACTCTTAAAATATGTTTATTATTAGATCCATTACTTGTACTTTCATAGATACATCACTTTATAAAGGTATCAAACATATCAAATGTTCTTACTATCAGCATATTTTTTTCATGTGAATTTATTTAAATGATCAAATATGTAATGTATGAATGTATTGTGCACATGTCCCAATGCCCGATTATAACTTCACTTCCACTTATAACTCCCTTTAAACCTCTTATACCATCACAAGGCAAGTGAGGTCAAAATAAAATAGAAGCCTCATGCAGCCATATAAGGTAGATATGGTAAGAATATAATAGATACCTCTCATATCTACACTGGAATATTAATAGAATAGATTAGGCAATTATATCATTTTAGAAAGTGCACTTATACATTTTCATAAATTAGAACTTCTCTAATGCCATGCTATGAACTATGAAATTTGAGTGTAATAATAGATGTTCATGACTTTAAACATGAGTATGATGATACATGAATTATCATAATTGCCAAACTAAGGTAACATTTCATGTGTAATAGCCAAAACACTGAATATTATTCATTCCATTTAGAATTTTAGAAGAATATCAAGAATGTTATTTTATGACTTTTAGAAAACTATTATTAATACCAAAATACCTCATTTATTCACTATGTATAGAGATCATCACGAAGAAAACCAATGGGTAAAATTCTAATTTTTTTAGTCAAAATGTTCAAAATAAAGCATACTACAATACATAAAAAGTTTCAGTGTGAAAAAGTTATAAAATCTAAGGAAAACACATTTTTATCTATATCTTGTTATAAACTTATTAGAATTCAAATAAAAGACATGTGTTTAGAAGTCTACCTCTTTCTTAAGGCCTTCAAATGGCCCTGTTGACCTCTTTTTTTGCTCGAGCCCTTTCGATCGACTTGATTAGTTCTCGTCGAGCCCAATTCGAGCTCGATTTGACCCAAATCGTCTCTTAATTCGAGTTTGATTTTATTTAATCAAATTTATCAAGCCTAATTAAATCCAAATTATTGCAAGGTTAACTCAATCCCAACTAAATCTAAGCCTAATTCTGATCTAATAAACCCAATCTGATTTTAATCAAGCTCCATTCGACTTTCAGTTTTTTTTTTTGAATTTGTTCCCGAATCAAGGAATTGTTTCGATGGCCCTGATCTCTCCAAAATTCGGACTCTACCGTTGCAAGGCTTCCCAGTCGCGTGTGCCCTCGAAGAAGAAATTGATTTGAGCGACTTTAAGTAGAAGCAGCTGTCGCAGTTCCTTTTTGATGTTTTTGAGCAAGGCAGAATGTCGGGAGACATTAGAAGGCTGGGACAGAGCCTTCGACTCCCTCATTCGGACCGGAGCGCTCTCTCTCATGGGCCTTTTCCTCTCTCAGTCCCGAGCTCTCTCTTAGTCTCACGGAGCACCATCCTCTCTCATTCTCTCTGAGGCCTGAAGAAGCCCTAGACGGAAGGCTAGCTCCCGCCGCCCTCTCTCTCCAGTCTCTCTGGTTCGGAGCGGAGAAGCAAGGTCCGAAGCCCTCTTGCTTCCAGGCGACTGATCCACTCCGGTTTCCCTTCTTTGTTCGTGAGCCAGTCGACGTCGAGCCCCACTTCCTCTCTCGATTTCACATAACCCGAAGCCCCCACTCTCTCCCTCATTCCCTCTCTCGGTTTTGAAGCCCCTCTCCATTCGCAGCCAGGCGACGGAATCCCTAGCTCCTCCACTCCTTTCTTCTCGGTTTCACACAGCCAAAGTCGCCTCCCCCTAGCCGAGCCTGAAGCAAGTCCAGACGCCGGAAACCCCTTGCCCTGGCTGCCGACTGATTTCTCCACAATAGCAGGTATATCTCCTTCTTTTCTCTTCTTCTTATCCTCTTTTCCTTATATTAACTTAATTCTTTTCCCCCTCATTCTCCTCTTCTTCCTAATCGCTTGGGTGCGATTCTCCTAGAGTTCGAAGGCCACAAAATAGACAGGATTGCCGCTCTGATTGTCTCACCCGATGGATTCTATGGTCATCTAGCCTCTTTTATATTTGTTGTCCGTTAGTTGTGGTCTTCTTGAATATAAATGGCTTGATGTGATTTCGTTCCTTACTAGTGTTGGCATGATAACTTGGAGACCAATTTAAGGTTTCTAAAAGGGGAAGGGAAATTACTATGCCTGGAATCCTCTCATCTCTAGTTTTGACAGCGTACATTTAATCATGGAAATTAGAGTAAGATGTGAAAGATGGTGAAATGCTATTGGATACATTTGGATGTTGCAAGCTGTAACTCCCCTTCCATCATTCCTTATTTGTCTTCAGATGGTTTACTATTATTTAGCAAGGATTTAAATCTTTAAGATTTATGTTTTGACGTCAATGAATGTGCTACGATATATGCATTTGAAAATGAGTAGTTTATTTTCAAGAATGGCATTTTGAGTTTTGGATAGTCATAGTTATCCATCTTCATTTCATTTTTTGTTTTGGTAAGTTTCATGAAGATTGTGTTGTGATGACCTTAATCAAATGTGTAGTTGGAGTTTCCTTTGTTGTTTTTTTTTATGTAATCGAGTATGGTGGTAAAAGCATGATCCTCACATGGGCTGACTTATTAGGTCTTTACTGTTGCATATCAATTACTCGATGAAATGCTCTCAAGGAGTTTTGTGATTTTTTTTTTTTTGACATTACCAAAATCCTACATGAATGTCAAAGATTTTGTCATTGCCGGGGGCACTCGAAAGATTCTAAATACGATGAATCTCCGATTAAACTTTATGAATAGTTGAAATAAAATATCAAGGCGTCCTCATGTAGAGTGTACTCATGTTCTTATTTTTGTATATGTGTATGTTATCGGAGGTGAATGGTTGTCTTGAGAGTTGTATATATATATATATGGCTTAATATTTCAATGCATATTTGCCTACTATTTTAAAACTATGAGTTTGGAGAGATCTAAGTTAATCAAATATGCTCAATAGACACCTTATTGCTTCATGATTGATTGGATTTTCTCTTCTTTAAGTCCATATTACTTGCAATATGGTTAGGAATATTTAGTCACTTTTACACCCATGAACATTGTTGGAAATACTGAAGTGGCTCCTCATAAATTATTCTTAATTATTCATGAAATATACTCTTCCCCTTTATGATCAAATGTGCACGCTTAAGTAAACTTTCTTGTTGCCTTTCACGAATGGGCATCTTTATGGAGTAATAATGAAACTCATGTGTCGATTAGGAAATGTTATAAAGTTTGTTATTCTTCATGGAAGAAAATGCATATGTAGGAAGATTTAAATTGGAACCTTTATATCTTTACTATTCCACTTACACACTATTCGTTGGCATCCCTATGAGAATTTGTTGGAAATCTTTCATGTGCATTCATGTTATAAAGGCTTGTTTTGGGTGTGAGAACAAATTTATGAATTTGGATTAGAGAGTCACTTGGAATTGTTGGTGGCATGTAGCATGAAAAATACAAATTTGTTGGAAGAAATTCATGTCTATTCTAAATCATGTGGTAAATGAAAGATTTATATCTATGATTAGTAAGTGTTTATATATCTCATACATGCTTAGAAAGAAATTTTCATGTACTTTGTGAATTCGATGAGGTATTATTCATGCTATTGAAATTCTTTTTTTTTCTAATGGTTAGAGAAATGGCATCAATTTCCTCTTCTATAAGTTTTGTTGTTTAGGCGTCACACTCTAATGATTGGAGGAGTGATTGTTCTCTTATGTAGGTTGGTTGGTGAACCCAATCAAGTAGGCGTTTGAAGCATTCTTTTCTTGCTATCATGTTTTACGGAATCTTGCAAATATTGCCTATCTAATGTTTATGATAATGCCTCAAAGGAATTGTAGTTGTTTTGCTTACATAAAAAAAAGAGAATATATGGAATTTTGCATTCTTTTTATTCTATTTTCTATATGTATACTTGGGTGCCTCCTTGTTGAGTTGATTACATAAATCATGAAAATTTTCTTTATATCGATTATTGGTAAGTCTGTGATGAAATAGGTGTATAAGTCTTAGCTTTTATGTTAACTTGCTTCATATAACTTTACAACTATTGTGCACCAAGTTGTTTGTGAATGTCGTTGGAAAGAAAACAAAATTGTTTAATGTACATTGGAGCTTTGTATGACGGCATCCTTTATTTGAAGTGTTGCCAATATATTATCTAGTGGTTTGCAAATGAAATTTTAAAAGAGAAGGAAGAGTAGCTTCTTTGAGTAATTATTACTCATGAAATTTATGGGCATGCTTAATTATTCCGGTTAAACACTGTCTAAAGCCTTGAGCCTTGAGAATGTAGCATGAAGGCTTTATATATCATCTTTCATATTCTTCATTGTAATGTTGGATATAGATCATTGGATAAATTGTCATGATTCAAGCATTTACATGAATACTTAAAAAAAAAAAAACATGATTTCTATATATACTTTTGAAATGTAGTTTCAAACATGAGTTGCTCTTCTTCGCTAAGGCTTTCCAAAGAGAAAACATTGTTGTGTTGAAAATATTTGAGCATGAGAAAATGTAGGATCACCCTTTCTTTACAAAGCTTAAACTTCTTGCAAATGATATGTTGATGTTCACTTTGCATATATCTTGAAACATGTATGGTTGGAATATGATTAGTGTAACTTTGTACTTATTGTCATGAGCTAACTTGAAGGAGTGTAGTTGATATCCATTAAAACACTTGCAAAATCATATGATTGGTACTAAAGCAAGCTTACGGATTTGTATAAAGCCCCTTGGAGATATTTGATAGTTTATGGAGGTGGAAGCTAGAAGTTTGTTGGAGAATAGTTATACATCTCATGTTTCAAATCTATGTTGTATTGTGATGATATCATGCCCGCTTCTCTTGAATTTTGGGAACAAAATAATGGCATAAGAATTTCTTTCTCTTTTATAAGTACGATTGGCAATGATGGTTTATACACTCATGATTGGAGATTAGTTTACTTCACTATAAATGATTTTTCTTCCGTTAGCGTGTAAAGTAGCATGCATTTGCGAATTTCTATATTTCTATAAAGTTTGTGTTGGCGAGTTTGAATAGTCTTTTCGTTCTTTGTTAGAGGGATAATGATGAGTCGGAATGTTTTATGATTTGTTTTATATTGAAAGATTTTGTAAATAGATCTTTGATTGGAAGCTTTGTGAGTCGTTTCATGTTGCAAAGATTCACAATAGATGTTGTGAATGTTTTATATCGAAGGCTTTATGTGAATTATTTTCATATTGAGATTTTGTGATTGTGTCTTGTGATTGTTTCTTGATGGAAGGCTTCATAATGCCTATTCATTGAGAAACTTCCACAAAACTACCCCACACCAAATTTAAATAAGAGGCACTTGATTGTTGGTTGTTTTGGTAGAGTTTTATGTCAAAGGGGGATTTTGGTAGATGATTTTTGTAGGGTCTTGTGTAGTATTTTGGTTAGAAGTTTTCATAGAGTGTTTTGAGGCTTATAATTTGGTGATTTGCTTAGTATAGTAAAATCCCTTAGTAGCTTTGTAGAACTGGTTAGTGATTAGTGTACGAATTGCCTTCCTTTTAATTCACATTAGTGTCTAAAAGATGAGGTTTGGAATTTGAAGCATTAGGGAGCTTTGTGTTGGAAGGTCTTTAGGGTCTTTTTGGGAGCAAGATAGTCCTTGCTCATCTGGATTTTCTCCCTTTAGTGTTAGCTCGTAAAGATAAAAAAAGAATTTTTGGATGAATGCAATAATGAAATAGAGTATAGCTTTAAGCTTAGCCTTAGGAGTTTGTTTCCCTTAGTTGCTTTGGGCTTTGTTTGTAGTGTATGGTCGGTAGATGTTTCAAACATATCAAGTGCCTTATTTGGATTGTGGGAATAACAAAGGGCATTGTTAATGTTGCTTTAGGGTACACTTGACTTCACAGAATTGTGCCCAACAACAACAATGCCTACATTCCTTTTATTTCTAATTTTTATTCTTTTTCTTTCTACTACATTTCTACTTATTAAAGTAATTATATCCGTAGATACCTAAGCTGTTGACACATGTACGAAAGTCCTAGGGGTTAGAAAACAAAACATCTTTTAATCCTACAACTTTAGTGACACTTAAGGAATAAAATTAAGGATCGAGTCTTAGAAAATATAGACTTAGGGTGCATGTTCCTTATAGGATAGAGACATCAAAATCAAACTTAGTGACATGTTTTTCTAGGTTCTAATTTCCTTAGTCTATTAATAATCAACCAACCAATCTTAATCTAATTCTTAAAATCTATTAAAACGCTTAATTCTTAATCAAGTTATTATTAACATTCATAATTATTAAATTCTAAATCTAAAACATAAACCTAAATCAAATTTAACAATCTAATAATAAACTCTTAACCAATCTAAGGTTTAAAAGATGTAGACTAAAATTAGGGTATCAAATATGAAACTAAAATTCTTTAGGATAAAAGACTTCTAAAGATCAAACCTTAGACTAATCTTTTAAAATCAATCCACAAATCCCTTAATACATAACAACCACTCCAAAGATGAAGTTTATTGGATGGACTACTCCGGGCTGCGGGGCTAAGTGTCCTAAAGAGGCCTGGTTCCTCGAGCCTGGTGGCACAACGCCACGAATGGATCCAATGGAGTGTTAAAACCTAAAATTAATTTCTTAATTGGCTTAAATCAAACCTTAATTGATAATAAATCATTAATACACATTTTTCTTTTAATTTATAACCAACTGAATAATCAATCAAATCCTAAAATAAAATCTCTAAAAGCAATCCTAAAACACTAATATTTAAACTTATTAAAACCTCACTTTTGCTCTCTAACAAATCAAATGGAGGCAACTATAACTAAATCATCCTACATAGGATCTATCCAAAATTGCACAGCCTACACACACCTTAGACTTATTTGGTTAGGACACGACTTCTAGTCCTAGGTTAGACTGACATTTTCTTTTATTGTTTAGTATTTACTACATGCACATGTCATATAAATGCAATTCTTAAATTTCCTGTCATTTGTATTTTTATTTACCTGTATTTCTTTTCTGAATGGCATCTACGCTTATATATATATATATATTTCTCTGTTATCTTATCTTGCGAGATACATCGGAGCTTGATGATCGGGAATTAAACGGGAGCATTTGCTTAGGAGCTGTTAAGTGGCCGCGCCACAAGCTGAGATCATTTACTTGCTTAGGAGCTTTTAAGTGGCAGCGCCACATTCAGGAATGATTTTTACAACCTAAACTCCTAATTATACATCGGAACTGCTACACTCCACACAAAACTTTAATAGGTATTCTAGCATGTTTAGGTAGCCAGCCATAGAATAGTTCACTAACGAAGATTTGGCCCTATAGGTCAAAGCTTACCTCCCTTCTGTGAGCCCTAGA